TTGCATAGATTTATAAAATTAAGATACTCTTCTTCACATGTTTCTCTTTTGTATTAAACTATTATGTTCATAGAGTATGTTGAATATTAAATAGTTATTATGAAGTGGATTGCTCCTGGACTTTCTTTCAAGTAGACTGTAAACACTGCTACCTATGGCAAAACACCTGCCTCATTCACATACTCTTACTAATATACATTAACCTAATTTTTTAAATGTTAGGATGACACAATGTGGTATATGACTAATTCTATCAGGCTCACCCAATTGTTTGTTCAAGTTTCTAAGAAATGGTATCTAGAATATTATTCAACACTAATGTACTTTCAAAATATCCCATAAGTTTCATAAAACGTATTCCCAGAAGAGTAGATATAGTTAGCAACCCAGATCTGTAAGTTATAGCACTGTCCAAGCATATTTCCTAAAATAAGAGGCTTCACTACATCCACAAATGCAAAATAAAGTAACTTTGAAATCCACCAGCTTCCATATTCTCCAAAGGAAAGAAAACTAGGGAGACTTAAAATAACTTTTCTCATCTTCATTAGCTGGAAAAGGCTGCCAATTTACCATGGAATATAATTCTTAAGCTATAGTGAATAAATTGCCCTATATTGCAAATTTATTTTACACAGAAAATCTAAGTACAAGGCTTATATTTTCCCAAACTTGCTTGCTATTTCAATGTCATAGAAAAATCCACTAAAATGATTTAAAATCTTGGGCTTGATCTGATCCTACAACAAAAGCAGCAATAATGCATGAATAGGGAATAATCAAGTTTACTTTCCTTTATTTTCCTATAACACCTTAGATATATGCCAGCCATTTTTCCAGTCAATTCTGTAATTAAGCAAAAAGTCCAATCTATGTATTTTTGAGTCATTGCTTTGACTTGCTTGGGTCACTCCTGATGTGTTGCCAAATTAAAAGTTTTACCTTTGTTCCAACACTTGACTTTAGAAAAAGAATCAAATGTTAACAAACTTCTTCTCACATACATTTATCTTTAATGCAGTGAGATATTATGCATCAATATTTCTTTTCTCAAGATCATCTAAGCTTGAAAACTTTCCAATAACAATGCTCTAATAAGATGCTAAGTAATTAGTTATGTGAAAAAAACACATTAGAGTATGAATGATGAAATCAAAGAGGATGTGGATGAGAGAAAAACACATGTAAGAGAATGCTACAAAGAATAAAGATGAATAAAGAGCAATTTTGAGGGAAAAAATTCTGCAGATATATGAACAGTGATAAATAAGCCTCTAGTACAATGAATAGGGGAGCTAGTCTGGTGTTAAGGCACTAGGTAAAATCGAGAGACCATGAGTTCTAATCCTGCCTTACATACAAAGCCAGTTGGGTGACCTTGGGTCAGTATTTGTCTCTCAACCCTAGGAAAGAGTCAATGGTAAACCATTTCTGAAAACTTGCCAACAAACTGCAACTACTTGATAGTCACCGGTAATAATGTTGACTTGAAAGTACCCAAAACAAACAAACAAACAAAGAATTATTTTAAAAAATCTCCAAACTCAGAAATTAGTTCCAGCTTTAAACTGGCATACTGTACTAAAGAACATCATCAATCAATCAAGGACAGGCAGTAACTGATTCCCAGATGATTAGACAAAGATAGGAAAGTATACTGACATTCTATTCAATAGAGATATCAACATCCAAGGTATTTTGGAAGACATTTCCTATAAACAAAAAATTCTAGTACTAGATGATAATGTTAGATCAGCACCTTAGTCATTACCAAGTTGGAAAGTAAAGGAGTGGTTGAGATATCTACAGAAATACAGCAAAGAACAGAAGAATCAGTCAAGCTTCTAACCAAATAATGTAAACAAATCTGGAAAACAGCAGAGATCAATGTACACACTAATATATAAAAAGGAAATTTAACAGAGTATGTAAATTATTATACAATATCTTTAATTTCACATGCCATCAAATAACGTTTAGGTTCATCCAACACATCCTACTTGAGGAGAATTCAAATGGAAACAGTTCAAGCTGGCTTTAGAAAAGGCTGAGTAATAAGAAATATAATTGCAGAGACATGCTGGAAAATTAAGAAAGTCAAGGAATACCAAAAAGAAGTAAACATGTGCTTTACTGACTACAGAAAGGCTTTTGATCATGTCACCCACATCAAAATATGGAATATGCTTAGGAAAATGGGAATTCCAGAACATCTCATTGTCTTCATGAAAGACCCATACACAGGTCAAGATGCCACAATCCAGATAGAATATGAAGAAATAGATTGTTTCCAGGTTAGCAAAGAAGTGAGACAAGGTACTCTAAATCAGGGATCGCCAACCTTTTGGACCTCAGGGACCAACAAACTCATAATTTTAAATCCCAGGGACCACTAACTGGTTCTGTGGGTGTGGCCTAATATGTGGGTGTGGCGTGGTGGTCATGTGACTGGCTGGGCATGGCTTGTATGTAAATATTATAAATATTTATATAAATATTGAATTTTTTATAAAAAAGAGCAACTTTTATCCAAAAGCAGGCAAAGCAGGCAGGCAGATTGAGTTGCTCACAGAATCACAGATTCATTCAGAGATCTATCTATCTGCCATCGGCTAGCTCAGCCTGTCACATAAAATTTGCTTGCAAGCAAACTCATAAAATTTGCCAGCAGGCAAACTCATAAAATTAACTCACAAAATACCATGTATGTAAATATTGAATTTTTTATTAAAAAAGAGCAACTTTTATCCAAAATCAGGCAAAGCAGGCAGGCAGATTGAGTTGCTCACAGAATCACAGATTCATTCAGAGATCTCTCTATCTGCCATTGGCTATCTCAGTCTGTCACATAAAATTTGCTTGACATGAGTCTGCACTGAATAATAGAAACTTCAGTCCTAAGGGAGGTTCGGTTGTACTTAAAAGCAGAGCCGAAGATCTAAAGACTAACTAGAAAGCAAGAAATCCAACCATTTCCTGCTTCCTAGCTAATCTAAATCTCCCGGCACAGCAGAACAGATGATGTCGGAAAAAGGAAAAATAGCAATTTAGCAGGCAAGTTTGCCGGATAAGGAGTGAGTGGCTGGGGAGGGTTCCCATGGGCCATGTGGGCGGCGAAGCCTTGTGTTTCTGCACAGCCTGGATTAATTGTTTTGGGTGGGTGCTCTGGGGGTGAGATTTCTCTACAGCCCACCAAGGGGGGGTAATGAAAATGGAACTAAAGAGATTAAACGAATGATTTTGACCAAATTAATTTTGACCAAATTAATGAGAACAGATACAGCAACCAGTCTTAGAACTGATAATAAAGAAATTGTGTCTTTTAGGATCAAAGTATCAAACTATCAAAGTAAAGAACTAGCAGTCAAGAAATATACCACAAAAATAGGTAAGAATCATTTGTGCAATAGTTTTCCCTGTTACACCCTATTAAAGTGCAAATTGGTCTTCAAAGAGACAGGGTAAAGTGTATTAATGTTTTTTTAAATTTTGGTGTTGGAGGGGACTTTTGCGAATACCATACACAGCCAAGAATGCACACAAAACATAGATAATGGCTTTCAATAAATACACACATGGTCAAACTTAATTATCATCTTTTGGGCACATTATGCAAATACCTAGCTCTTGAGAAGTCTACAATGCTGAGAAAGCTGGAAGGAATAGAAAAAGATGACCAGCAGAAAGACAGATGGACTCAATTAGCGTAGCAATGGGTATATCACTGGAAGATCTGAGGGACCAGCTTGGGAGCAGATTATTCTGATTATAGGTCCTCCCAATCTATTTATGTGTTAGTTAAGAGTAGACACCAACTTGATGGCATATAATCATCATCATTATCATCATAAGTATCTGTTAGGGTCCTAATCTTGTTTTTTTCAATCATTCCTAATATATCTTTTTGACAGAAATAAAGCAGACAATTTTATTTTAACCATAACAAGTAATGAAAAAGAGGCAAGGACAAAAGAGTAGTAGAAAACTTTCTAGGCTGATAATAAGTATTGAGCTAGATTAAAAGCAAAAATTACTCACCAGAGCAGGAGCAACAGTAATTGAATTACATGATGAAAGGTTTGAAGTGGGGGGGGGGAATCTAAATGTATATCAACACACAAAATTATCTGTCAGAGTGGTTAAATAAATGGATGAAATATGAGTCTGAAACCTTGCTCCTTTTATTCTTTCCCCTCTCCTCTAGACAATTTGAGAATCCGTGGATGGCATTTCCAAGTCCATTTTTGAAATGAGGTAGATCAAAAAGCATTAGAGATGTATAAACTGTCAGCTGGGGAAACTGATTTTTTTTTCTTTTAAGCTACTTTTTCTTCTGACTTAGATTATTCAAATGAAGATTGGACAAAAGTAACATCTACTGGCAGATTTTGAGATGAACTATAGTAGTTAAACTAAGAAGCCTGAAGATCATTCTTGTCCAACAGGTAAGTTATTATGAAAGTTAGCCTGGAGTTCAGATACCACAAGTCATTTCCACATAACACAGAGCCATATTTACTCATTATTCATTTTCTGTAATGCACTTCATATATTCAAATCAGTTCACAAATATCATCACTGAATTTTGGCAATCACCATTGCAAGAAAGACTTCTATTATGGCAATCTACTCTTAAAGAGAGAAAAATCAGTATCCTTCTTCTCCACAGATTACTGTACTTACCACTTTGATTTGTGAAATTCTTACAAATATTTATCTCATAAAAACTTTATATTAAAACATAAAAACATAAAAAATATAAAACTTTATATGTTTTAAAGGCAAAAAGAAGCCAACTCATCTCATACTTCAAGTTATAAGTTATAAACAAGTTATAAATAACCTGTTCTTTAAGTTATCATTTGGGAAATGAAATATTTTCATTACTGACTGAGAATTATCATTAATGCACAAGTTGAAAAAAAATGAACAGCCTCTTTCTCTCTCACACACACAACATACACACAGATACATAGACTCTGATATCTAAAACCACTTACCTGCTGTAGATCTGCAAGAGAATATAGGTGGATCTGCTGAAGAAGATACTCCCTGGGAAAAATTCTGAGAAAGAAAGAAAGAAAGAAAGAAAGAAAGAAAGAAAGAAAGAAAGA